AGATCTTATTAGGGACCATGGTAACATTTCGGCAATTTTATTTATAGGCAAAAAAAAAAAAGTCAAAAAATTCCAAAATTTAAGGTTAATATCCACGTTTTTTGAGAAATTTTGAAGGTTTCGAGACCCGGTATAAAAAATCCTTGAGATTTAAGGGGATACATCTCGGGGTCAAATAATGCCATTTGGAACCATATATAATCATTATATGCTGTCATAAATGTTCGTGGTGGGATTGAATTAATGAAATCGGTGGAAGTTGTAAATCGGTAAATTGGCCGTTTAAAGGCAAATTGGATAGCTACACCTACCCAATTGGAGTCCTAAAGGGTATTAGGGACCATTGTAAACATTTCTGCAATTTTTGTTTTCGTACAAAAAAAGTCAAAAAATTCAAAAATTGAAGGCGAATATCACGCTTTTTTAAAAATTTTGGAGTCTTCGGGGGCCGATGTATAAAAGTTTAGGAATTCTAGGGAATACATCTCGGGGTCATATAATGTCGTTAGAATCCATATATGATCATTACTAGTTGTCATAAATGTCTGTGGCAGACTTGAGTTTATGAAATCGGTGCAAGTTGTAAACCAGTAAACTCCCCATTTAAAGGCAAATCGGATGGTTCCACCCACAAAATTGGACTCCCGGATCGTATTAGGGAACATGGTAAACATTTCGGCAATTTTTAGATTCAAGCAAAAAAAAGTCAAAAAATTCCAAAATTGAAGGCTAATTATCCACGCTTTTTGAAAAATTTCGAATGTTTCGGGCCCGGTGTCGAAAAACACTGAGATTTTAGGGGATACATCTCGGGGTCATATAATGGCGTTTGGATCCATATATGATCATTATACGTTGTCATAAATGTTCGTGTTAGGCTTGAATTAATGAAATCGGTGCAAGTTGTAAATCGGTAAATTTGTCGTTTGAAGGCAAATTGGATGGTTACACCGACCCAATTGGACTCTAAGAGGGTATTAGGGATCATAGTATTTCCCCAAATTTTTATTTTCGGGCAAAAAAAAGTCTAAATATACCAAAATTAAAGGCTAATATCCACGCTTTTTGAGAAATTTTGGAGGTTTCGGGGCCCGGTATCGAAAAGCCTTGAGATTTTAGGGAATACATGCCGGGGTCATATAGTGTTGTTTGGAACCATATAAGATCGTTATATGTTGTCATAAATGTTCGTGGTAGGCTTGAATTAATGAAATCGGTTGAAGTTGTAAATCGGTAAATTGGCCGTTTAAAGGCAAATTGGATGGTTCAACCCAGCCAATTGGAATCCTAGAGGGTATTAGGGACCATGGTAAACATTTCGGCAATTTTATTTCCGGGTAAAAAAAAAGTCAAAAAAATTCAAAAACTGAAGGCTAATATCCACACTTCTTGAGAAATTTTGGAGGTTTCGGGTTCCGGTGTTGAAAAGTCTTGAAATTATAGGGTATATATCTTGGAGTCTTATAATGTCATTTGGATCCATTTATGTTTATTATTTGTTGTTAAATGTGTTCGTGGTAGAGTTGAGTTATAGAAATCGGTGCAAATTGTAAAACGGTAAATTGGTCGTTTAAAGGCAAATTGGATTGTTCCACCCACCAAAACGGACTCCCGGAGGATATTAGGGACCATGTTAAACATTTCGGCAATTTTTATATTCGAACGAAAAAAAAGTCAAAAAATTTCAAAATTGAAGGCTAATATCCACGATTTTTGAGAAATTTCAAATGTTTCGGGACCCGGTGTCGAAAAGCATTGAGATTTTAGGGGATACATATCGGGTTCATATAATGTCGTTTGGATCCATATATGATCATTATATGTTGTTTATAAATGTTTGTGTTAGGCTTAAATTAATGAATTCGGTGCATGTTGTAAATCGGTAAATTGGTCGTTTAAAGGCAAATTGGATGGTTCCACCCACCCAATTGGACTCCAAGAGGGTATTAGGGACCATGGTAAATATTTCTCCAATTTTTATTTTCGGGCGAGAAAAAGTCTAAATATTCCAAAATTGAAGGCTAATATCCACGTTTTTTGAGAAATTTTTGAGGTTTCGGGGCACGGTATCGAAAAGCCTTGAGATTCTAGGAAATACATCTCGGGGTCATATAATGCCGTTTGGAACCATATATGATCTTTATATGTTGTTATAAATGTTTGTGTTAGGCTTAAATTAATGAATTCGATGCAAGTTGTAACACTACTAGAATACATGCAAATGGTGACGGATTAGTTCCGACGGACCCAGAAGTCCGTCAGAAATGTCGAAATTTCCAAAGGATTTCTATTCCGTCGGTTATTTTTGACGGAAAAAAAATCCGTCGGAAATCCGTCGCAAATTTCCGACGGAATAAAAATTCGTCGAAAAATATGTATTTTCTGACAGATTTTCCTGTTGGAAAAGATATTTTCCAGCGGATTTTTCTGTCGGAAAAGATATTTTCCGACGGAGTTTTATTCCGTTAGAAATTTACGACGGATTTCCGTCGGATTTTTTTAAAAAATAAAATAAAAAATAAAATAACAAACCCTAAATACCTATGCGCCGCTCTTCTTCTCTTTCCTTTTCTTTATTTCTCTTTCTTCCCTCTTCTTCTCTCTCCTCTTCCCTCTCCTTCTCTCTCCTCGTCGTTCTCCTTCTCTTCTCCTCTGCATCTTTTATTTCATCTTCTCTTCTTTCTCCTCTAACTACCACCTCACATCTCCCACCACCACCGCAACATCGACATCAACAACATCTTCTATTCTTTCGTTCTACTCCTCTTCCGTTCTCCAACTCCTCCATATTTTTAGACATTATTGGTTTTTTTGGTCAAATTCGACCATAAAAAGTCTAGATAATTATAAGGTGGTCTAGACTAGGGAACTATAGTTTATAATTTAGGAAGATAATTATCTCCTTTGACCATACAACAAATATATCCTATATTTAACTCTTTAATTAAAGGATGATGCTCCTTTCTTTTGTTGCCTGGACCGACTTGGTCTCCCTAAACAAAATGCTTTGATCAACAATAATAAGGTGGTCTAAATTGCATTTAAGGTGATTTGAAATCGGATCAGGAACAATTTGGGTTGAATTTAGGTCGGGTCTATAACAAGTCGTGTTGATTTCGGTTCAGGTTAGTAACAGATTGTGCTGAATTTTTGGGTCGAGTTAGTAATAGGTTTGGTAAAGTTGAATTTGGGTCAGGTTGTTAACAAGTCGGGTTGGTTTCGGATCGGTTTGTAACAGGTTTGGTTAAATTCGGGTCGGGTTAGGAACGGGTCGGGGTGGATTCAGCTCTGGTTAGTAACAAGCCAGGTTAAATTCGGGTTTTTACGGGTTAAAAAGGGTTTGGGTCTATTTCGTTTCAAGCAGGGTTCGATTCAGGTCAATAATTTGCGGGTTACATTTGGATCGGGTCATCTCCAGGTCTTTGGGTGCAGGTCTCACTTACTCGGGTCTAAGGTTAGTTTCAGATTGGGTCAGGTCAGGTTTGGGTCACTATTTTTTCAGGTTCAAATAGGTCGGTTAATAATCGAGTTTGTGTCATTATTTCGGATTGGGTCAACTTTGACAGCTCTAATATAGAGAACTGCATAAGCGTTGTTTTTAAAAAATTGAAGAGCCTCTCACACGTATCATTAGTTAATTAGTTTCTGATACAAATTATGGAGTAAAAGTTTTCCCCAATGTTAATCGAAAAGCATTGAAGTGGTCAATATTTAATAAACACGTCACCAATAGTAAATAGTCCATAAAATATCAATACAATAACATCTAAACCTTCTTAGAGCAACTCCAATGGTTGCTTTTAGGGATTAGCTTGCAATTTTAATAATTTTCAAGCTAATAGCCAAACCATTGGAGGATAGTTTAATAATTAGCTTAGAAATTAATTGTCTCTAATAAAATACTAATTATTTAAAAAATAAAGCTGAAAAATCTAAATGTTAATTAGCTTAACTATTGTGGCATAAATTAGCTAGATGGAAAAATAACTTTGCCGTTGGAGTTGTTCTTAGCTCTTCCTTCCAAAAAAAGGTTCCTAGTTCTTAGACGCCCTGCCCACTTGACACAAATTTCAGTGACAAATACTCCCCTTGCTCCTTCAATTTTATGAGATGTATGATCTGAACCAATATCAAATTCTGCTTCACCGCGCAATTCTTCTTCAGGGAACTGAAACCCCGTCGAAGCACTAGTTGCAATCAAGTCCACTTCAATAATCAGAGATGAATTTCTAGGTACGGCCACTAAATATCTTGGCAATGGAATGTTATCACCCTTGGCTACCCATGAAGAGTCTTTTTTCTTGGTGTTGTAAAGCCAAGTCTTAAAGTATTTTTTTTCATAAGATGTCAGATACTCGTAGGCTCCATAACGAACAACTATTGATCCATGGACAAATGCGGCAACATCAGCACCACCGTTAAAGTACATCTTAGCCTCCACGGTAGCTTGGACAGCATCATAAAAGATTGTATGATGCACCACAGCACAACCGTCCTTGCCCTTAATAACAGAACATATGCATTTGTCATACCAAGAGAACCGGCTGATGTTCTCTAGACTATGTAAGTTCCATTGCATGCCCCCTATACTGATTTCACGCCCCCGCATTGGATCTTTGATATCGGTTCGTAAACAAAAGTCAGCATTAGGAGCAATTCGGTTAGGGCCTGATAGAAGTAGACTCCCATCACCCAGCAGAACAGACTCTGAAGTTCCTCTTTCATCACTCTGGAAGAGAAAATAAGGATCATCTGCAGCATCATCAATAACAATACTACCAGAAACACTCCGCACGTTATAATTAGTCCCACAAATTCGAATGGAAAACACCTCAGCCAAATAATCGCAAAATACTACAGGTTCAGGCACAGCTGGAATTGAACTTCTGAAGAGAAAACACAGAATATACAGCAAGAATTAAGAATAGGTAGAATAGATGCTGTTAAATTAATACAAAAGGCACACGAGACAATAAGGGGGAGAAAAAATAAAGCATACCCCCAGACACTTCTCCCTTAGCAGAGTCGATGATATGGGTTGATAAAGTCCCAAGCCACTTGCACTCGGACAAGACCATTGAGTACCCGTATTTTGTGAACATAACAACCATGATATGTTGCTGGGAATTCTACGGAACCACAAAAACCTTTACCACTGGAGCTAACTAAGTTGGCTTCGACTATAAGAGAAGAATATGCTGGCACAACCACAGCATGTTGACAGATCAACTCACTGGTGTTGGTCTGCTCCAAGCCATGTAAAGGCCTCTTTAAAAGTAGCATCTCAAAGTAGTTGGAATCCTCATTGTGAGTTGGATACAGTTTGCTATTTCCATAATGTGCAGTCACAATGAGATGAAGATCTGAAGGCAGGTCACGACCATAATCCCCATCAATGAGGAATTTCAGTTGAATTTTCGACATCACCCCATAAAGCACCGTTGCATAATACACTTTTGCACACCCATGTAAACACTTAAGAACAGCAGTTCGGAGTTTGTCATAATGATGATCTTCATATTCTATGATAGACCCCAAACTACATTGACCACCAACAACCTCCACATCGCGAACAGAATCTCTAAGAGCCAATTGCATGATTGCTCCTCCTCTAGATTGTGAGATGAAACCAGGAGATTCACCAAGCATTGGTCCCGTTAAAGACAGAATGGCATTGTTCTTTTGTAAGACCTCGGGATCATGGGTCTCTCGCTCATAGAGAGTAAAGGTTGTGCCATCTCCAACCTCAATAACATTAATTTTACCATATATGCAATAAGGTGTTTTATCTTTGAAGTGGGTGTCAAGGCGCACTGAAAACACTTGAACAAGAGGTGCAACTTGGCAATGACGATTATACGGTTTTTCATCATCTTCTGAAACACAGCCCATATGAGGCGGTATATAGTTTAAATTCTGACAACAAACACTGTTTTCATTTTCATACTCATCTACTGTTGTAATAGGAGTGCTATGGATTTGTACATCCGACTTTGGCAAAAGGTGGTTCAACCTACAATTTTATTTTATTTTTTTTAGTTAAGTCGATTCATAAATAACATCATGGTTCACTCCCAGTGTGAAAAAATTTAAAAACAAAAAAAGAGGTTGCCTTTACATTGCAAATAGTACTCCAAATTGAAATACTATTGTCGAATTAAAGAGAGATTATACAAAACCTCAAATCCAATAACATCACATGTTAATCAAATTAAAGAAAGAAAAAAACAAAATCTAAGCATGATAATTACCCAAGCTGACCAAAAGCTTCAAATGATGAGGATGAAAGCGACGAGAACAGAGCTACAGAAGAAAACAGAGAATTATTCGCAAATCATAAATTATTAAATAATAAATAAAAACGAGTTACTAACTTTGTGTGACGTTGGAGGGAAGGTATCTGGTGGTAGAGGAGTTACGGGCGGTGGTCGTACTGGCTGAATTGATTTCCTTTCCTGATCGAACATCTCCATAATTTAATCAATTTCTCAATCTAAATTCCTGATTGAAATTCTATTTAGGGTTTCGATGATTTGGAGTTTTTTTTTTTTTTTTTTTTTTCCAAAAGGTTTTAATACATATAGTTTCTGATTCTTAATAATCTAATCTAATTTCCCGAGTTTTTAGAGAGCCACGTAAGATCTAATTTTCTCAGTGCGCCATGTAGGATTATAAATCTTAGTAGTAGCAAATTAAATAAGAGATTATTAATTTCTTTTAGAATTAAATAATTTAAATGTCATGTAAGCAAAATTGGCGAATGAGATTTTTAAGTTTAAATTAATTAAATATTATATATTATCCTTTAATACTAGGAATTTTATCTAAATATATAATAAATTTTAGGCTCATAAATACAAAAAAAAAATATTATTTAAAAAAAACAAACAAACCGTGCATCGCACGGGCTTCATCGAGTTATAATCATATAGTCGAGTTGACCAAATTCATATGCAAATAAGGTTATTTTTAAACTAGAGATATTGTTTAATTTTTACCTTATTATTGGGTCAATATGATTATTAATTACGAAGCACGAAGTTTTAGTTTTCTCATTTGATCAAGTTATGTGTAATTTTTATCTTTGAGGAAAATCGAGATTGAATAATTATCGATGACTTATTATACCTATATAAAGTGAGAAGTGAGACCGAGCTAGTGATATATTGACGAACAATATATCCTTTAAAACTTTATTTATTTTGCTTTCATAATTGTTTCTTATAGGTTGCATCAGACTAGTAGTAATGTGATTTATATTGATATAATTGGTTGTAGGTGTTAGAGAAAAGTATTATTAGTTCATAAAATATAAAATAGGCTTTAGGCAGCATTTAACTAGAGCTTTACAAGCAAATCAATTAACTCCCGCTTAATGTTTAGGTTTATTAGATCTTGTGGCATTTATTAAAGCTTAGAAAGTAAATTAATATAATTGATATGTAAATGAAGTAAACTTAAGACTCCGGATTATTTCTTTGTAGTCAAAAAGTTAACTTATTAATAATTAGTAAATATATAGTATAAGAACTTGAATAAAAATAATAAATAATTATTTATGATCGGGTTAAATTCGGATCGGGTAAAAATCAAATCGAGTTAAAATCGGATTGGATTAATATCAGTTCGGGTCAAAACAAATCGGATTAGATCGGTTATTTTTCGGGTCAATATCGGATCGGGTTGAGCTCGGGTCGGGTCAAATCGGTTCGGGTTGAGTTCAGGTCGGATCAAATCGATGCCGGGTTAAGTTCAGATCGGGTACGGTCAAGTTCGGATTAGGGTTGAGTTCAGTTCGATTACAAATCGGATTTGGGCCTTGAATTTCTCGGATCAAATCGGATCGGTTATAGTTCGAAACGGATAATTTTTTTTCGGGTCGGTTCGGTTTTGACACCTCTACATACAACCATGTGCAATTCAGTGCAAATGGTTTAAAAATGGTTGAGTTGGGAAAAGATGTTACCTAAAACTCAGTAGATTTCTGCAAGCTATTTTACAATGAACTGGTTTTTTCTTTCGATCCCCTTGCCCTTTGATTTGCCATGATGAAAAATGTGGGTAACCTGGCCAGTCCGTGTCTTAAAGATGACTTTAAGGCTTTGTTTGGTTCATAGTTAGTAAAGGAAAAGAAGATAAAGAAAAGGAGGGGAAAAGAAAGGAAGAGAAGGGAAAAGAAGGAGATTTAATTTCCAATGTTTGGTAAATGAAATGTAATGAAGGGAAGAGAAAGGAAATATGCTTTTATTTTTTCTTTCCAGCCGAATTCCTCCAAATTTGGGAGGAAAGGAAAGCTGAAAATTTGTAAAGAGACTATATTTTCACTTCCCTTCCTTTCCTTTAAATTCGTCAAACCAAACATGGGACAAAGGTTTTTCCAGTGTGGCAAGCCACATGGTGCGGCACGGATTACTTGTATTTTAGGGTTACTTGTATTCTGGGGTTACTTGTATTCTGGGGTTACTTGTAGGGTGTTACTTGTATTCTGGGTTACTTGTATAGGTTACTTGTAGGGTATTACTTGTATTATGAGGTTACATATATGGGTTATTTGTATCGTGGGATTACTTGTATTCTGAGTAACTCTTACAAGTAACTCCAAACCAAAATCTCATACCAAACCAGTAATACCCTACAAGTAACCCCCGATCAAAACTAGTAACACCCATACAAATAACCCTAGAATACAAGTAACACCTATAAGTAACCCCTGACAAAACCAGTAACACCCTACAAGTAACCCCGATCAAAACCAGTAACACCCATACAAATAACCCCAGAATACAAGTAACACCTACAAGTAACCCTTGACAAGATCAGTAACACCCTACAAGTAACCCCGATCAAAACCAGTAACACCCATACAAGTAACCCCAGAATACAAGTAACATCTACAAGTAACCCCTGACAAAACCAGTTGTACTCTAAAAGTAACCCTTGCCGTACCATGTGACCAGCCACATACAAAAATTACATATTAAAACCTTTTACTTTATTTTCTTTTCCAGCCAAATTCCTTCAACCAAAAAGGGCCTAAGGCTCAAATGAGGGAAAAGAGTGTGAGGGGAAGAGACAATGAGGGTTAGATTGCTCTTATATGTTTTTGGAATTCAACTAATTGTAGCTGGTACTTGTCTAAGCTGTAAGAATAACGTAATAAATTTTACTTTGGATCAGCTAACACCATAGTTTCCTATCAAAGGGGGTGCTTCGTTATTGCTGATGTTTTTAATCTCTGTCCTCTTCACCCACCAAATTAGACCACGCCGCCCCATTAAAATCGCCCTATTCATGACCAGGCAGCCACCCCATCCATTTGTCATCACTTTTTTTTTTTTATCTCCTTACTTCCCCATCACACCACCTCTTGGCTAGGGGACTTTACAAACAGAGTAAGATAAATAAACTTCTATTTCTGATAGTCTTCTGTCATTTCCAAATACTCAACAGCGTAACAAGAGCCTATTATGTACATCCGGAGTCTTTTGTTCATTTAACCAACAAATGAGTAAATAATTATATGCTCATTTGTTGATTAAATGTTTCCAACTGTATTGTAGACCCAAGTAACCTTAAGGTTATTTGAAGATTAGATGAAAAACAATGATCATTAAAATGAGTACAAATATACATAGATGTACGGTACAACCGGATATATATATATATATATATATATATATATATATATATATATATATATATATATATATATATATATATATATATATATATATATATATATATTATATATATATATATATATATATAAAACCAACCTAACAATGGATTACTTTTCATAAAATAAAAAATTAATATAAAAGAGGAGAATTATATTAATAGGCAAGCCCAGTTTTACAACAGACACCTTTTTATATTAAAAAACAATATATAAATGATGCATCAAAACCCAGCTCCTGTAAACCCTATTATATATATATATATATATATATATATAGAAAAAAACCATCTAAATGACTAAATAATTAAATAGTGCTTGCAATAAAATATAAATACCCCATATATTATATCATTTTACTATAAAATATTGATTACGTACTTACTTTAACTTCTCAATGATTCAACAAATCCACCTTTTGTAATACTTTGTCCGTTATCGCAATCCATTTTCTCAATTTCGTATTTACAAACAATTTAGTCTCATATTTATAGTGCTCTCGAATAACTTTTGACAATTTATAACCTGATATAACTCACATTTCATGTGTTTTTTTTTTCATCTACAACATTGTTACCCAAACCGACAATTGCTTGACTAAAAACATTAGATCCAATTCGTTAGTTGTTTTCCAACCCTCTCATGTCATATATTTATCGTTAAATGATAAATTATTGTTATCGGATCATGTGATTAGTGAATCATGACCTATTAACTTTTTACACGATAAAAAGTTATTATGATTATTGGCAAAAGGATTACCTCACTCCTTCGAAAATATATCACATAAACGGTTGCCATTTTAATCTTGATACCGGAGCGGTTGTAATTCAAGTTAACTCTGTGTAATATAATATTTACATACTTACACATAATTTGTTATTTTATAAATAATCTCACGTAATTTATTAATACATAAATAATTTTAATATTATTTGTTTTAATTAAAGTTAGTCCAACAATAATAACGGTGGATTACATAAGCTTTTTATCGTGTTTGAGTCAATAAACTTTTTTTTTAAACAAAATGGGATGCAAATGTTTTTTACGTGGGTTTAATAGCTTCGCAACAAAACTTAAAAATACTTTTTTTTCTTGATATTCTTGGTATTCTGCCATTTTTGTTTCGTAATGCTTGAATTATAAAAATTGTGTAAAAATACAGTAAAAAATAAAAGAAGAGGATGATAGATGAGAGAATTTAGAGAGAGAAAGAGAATGTTTGTTTCATTGCATTAGAAAATGAAATCATTGGAGGCAGTATTTATATACAAGCTATTGAACACTATTACGGAGTACAACTTAGAGCTGTCTATAACAATGCTTCTTACGAAGAAAAAAAAAAAAAGGAATGAAGACTTTATACTGCAAAGCGACTGAAGCTAAGTGAGATAAAATGTTGTTACTTAAATTGTTGTACATTGAAATGATGTAGATATATGACATGATCATCAAATCATGTAAAGCAGTTCAAGGCTGTGTAGAACCTAACCTAATGGCGTACAAAGCCAAATGACATGATTAATACTGTAGTATAAAAAAGTAAACATCAAAAAATGCAAAAGAAAATGACGCAATATAACTGCTAATGTTACATATTAAAGCAAATGACATGACTAATAATTTCAAAAAGAATGTGAATCAAGATACGAGTTAAGCAATTTCTGATCTGAGCTGAACTCTCACTTCAAATGTGAGCTAGTTTAGTACTCCATAAGATATAATCTAATTATTAATGCAAGGATTATAGACAAAGAATATTGTCGATTCCTTAGCTTTACTAATGATTTAAAAACTAGTAGGTGTGTAATATAGAAGCCCATAATTTGACCTCGAAAGCTAGAAAGGGCTAAAACGACTGAAGCTAATTTATACTGCAAAGGCTTTATCTTATAAAATGTTGTTACTTAAACTTACTAAAAAGTACTCTCTAAACCGCTAAACGTCAGCCATAGTCGTGTTCAAAAAATAAAATAAAATAAAAAAGTCAGCCCATAGTCATATAAGGCCAAAGTAATGATTAGTAATTTGTTTTGATAGGTGGTATCTCAAACTCAATTTTGGTTATCCTGAAAAAGAAATTTTATACACCATGAATGAAGTAAAGCACAAATACGATTCCTAAACTTTCGTATTTGTGCACTTTTAGCCCCTCAACTTTCAATAGTGCAATTTTGGTCCCTCAACCACCATATTTGGTGTTTCTGACAAAAAAGTTGAGGGACCTTGCCTAGTCAGCGAAAATTTAGGGACCTTGAGTCAGCAATAATATTTTTTATTTTATTTTTTTTGTCAGATTTTATCTATTTTATAAGAATCTTTATATGTGAGGTGGCTAATGTGATGATGAAAAAAAGTTAAGGACTGAAATTAGCCACATTGAATCAATATAACCAAAACTCAATCATTAATTAGAAATCTAAAGTAATTAAATTAAAAACAATGTTGTTTTTCAATATTAAAACCAATTAAAAATCTTTTGTTCTTTTGATTGAAAAAAATTTAATCTTTATCTATCTTTTCATGGCTTCCTCTCTCTCTCCCCCCTCTTCCCTAACCCTAACCTCCCTTCCAATTTTCTCTCTCCTCCCTTCTCCCCTAGTCTCATGGCTTACAACTCTCTCATCTCCTTCGACAATGGCTCCCACCTGGCCACCCATAAAACAAATTAGCCAAGCTATGACAATGGCTCCCTCTTCTATCACAACCACCGCACCACCACCACTACTCGATCGATTCGCGTCCATTCTCATCATTGTCGCCCCCTTCCACCTTGTCTGTTCGTCGCCGCCTCCTTTTCCCCTTTTAAAAGTTGCTGCCTCATTTTCCCTTTTCAAGGTTTTAGATTCGCTATTTGGGTAGGGTTTGATATTTTTTTTACCAATATGGGTGAGGCATTGGTGTTTGTGCGTTTCTGATCTTTGCGATGATATGGTGGGTTTCAGATCTAAGTGGTGGTGATGAGTTTGGGATTTGGTTCGTTGGTGGTGCTGGTGACAGGTGATGTGGGGTTTTTGTTTGTTAATGGTGGTTAGTGATATGGAAGTTTCGGTTCGTTGGTGGCCTGGTGGGTGGTGACGTGGGGTTTCAAGTGGTGGTGATGAGTTTGGGTTTCGATCTTAGGGGTAGTGATGTGGGGTTTTAGATCTCGGTGGTGGTTAGACTGTGGGAGGGTGCGTGGTTATTGGGTGTGGTGCGAGTTGGTCAGGTGGGTTTTTGGTGGTTGTGGAGGAGTTTTGGATCTAAATGGTGGTGAAAGAGTGGTGGTACAAGGTGGGTGCTGGTGGTGTTTAATAGGTTACTAATTAAAGTTTTCTTTCTCATTTTAGTCAAAGTAAGTAATAAATATTAATATCAATAGCTGAAAAAAATAATAATAATAATTCATGGTCCATAAACTTTTGCTGACTAGGCAAGGTCCCTCAACTTTTATGTCAGAAACATCAAGAGTGGTGGTTGAGGGACCAAAAATGCACAATTGAAAGTTGAGGGATTAAAAGTGCACAAATACGAAAGTTCAGGGACCGTATTTGTGCTTTACTCCCATGTAATGATTTAGACAAATATGGTTCCAATAATCCATGTAAACAAAAATTAGAGTTTAATTTACTCGGAAAGCAAATTCTAATGGGTAAGCGGCATGGACGCATGGTTCGTTGTTGCTAGCTTGCTACTTGCTACTCCAGTAGTTGCTAGTGTAATAAATAAAAAAATTGGAAAAAATTAATTAATTTGGTACTTAGGCCTGTTATATTCTGATTATTTTCAGTCCAGTTCAACTTTAATAAGTTCAGTTCATTTTTTAATTTTCTTCTCTCATAAAATATACAACTTAATTCAGTTCAGTTCATTTCAGTTAAGTACAATTCAGCTCTAATAAGTTCAGTTCAATTCATTTCATCTCAGTTAAGTAAATTAGAACAGATCCTTATATTACAATACTAAACTTATTTATTGTAATTATTTATTCATCTCTTTTAAGATTTACGTGAGCAATTTACATTACTGTGTATTTATTTGCGTTAATACGTATATAGGGTTTCAAATAATAGACATCTAGCCAGTTGAAAAAATTGTATGTGTAATACCCCAAAATTTTAAGTATATTTTAGTAAATAATAATTTTTAATTTATATATATATATATATATATAGGGTTGAGATCAGATCCAATGAGGATCTTAAAATGAGAAGGAACAAATGTGCATATATCTTATACTAAATGTGCATTTTTTTTAATATTGAATGTGCATAATTGTGTTTCAAACTGATAAAATTTTTTAATTTTCTGGAAAACGAAAAATATACACATTTGTTAAAAAAAAATATGCACATCAAATTTGAGTCTTTTTTTTTTTTTTTTTTTTTTTTTTGCATATTTAGTTAAAAAAAATATGCACATTTAGTACAAAAATTATACATAAAAAATCCTTCTCATTTTAAGAAACTTTTCATTTGACTATATATATATATGAAAATTTGTCAGAAAAAACCTTTTAAAGCATTCTTTGTTAAAAAAAAAACCACCACGATCACTTTTTTTGTTGAATGAAACCTGAGCCCTCTTTTCCGGCATTGGCTAACACTTTCAGGCATTGACTCACTTCTTTTCCTACTTGCAATATACTTGATACTGGAAGGGGGCCAGGTCTGGTGCTTTTTCAGTCAAGCAAGCAATGAAAATAATCAAGGATGAAGACCATGTTATGAAGGATCCCAAATGGGACTTAGCCTGGACTGCCCAAGTTTAGCAAAGGATTAGAGTCTTTTTGTGGTTAGTCCTACATGACAGGGTCCTATGCAATGCTAATAGGGTCAAGCACCACTTATCTGAAGAGCCGGCCATCGATATAACACAAATGCAGAGGAAACTCTGCTTCACATGCTTCGGACTATCCTATTGCAAGGGAATTGTGGACATCAGTAGGTGGGGCTGCTTTCTATCCCTCCTTTTACACTGGTGACTTGCAAACATGGATGACTAAAAATCTCAAAGCTGAAGGTCTTATACACTCAGACAAATGGCCTGTTTATTTTGCGCTTACTAGCTTTATGGTGGGCATGGAAGTGGCAAAATTGTGAGATCCTTGGTCGAGATTCTGATATTCCATTGAACAAAGGCGCTTTCATTTGAGGTAAGGCAGAAGAAACCTGGAAGATTATGATTGGTGAGAGTGTAAATGCTGTTTTTTCCCGTTCTGCTAGGAAGCATCAGGTCCTGATTCGTTAGCAAGCACCCCCTGCTGGGTGGATAGCCTTGAACACTGATGGCGCTGCTCGTGGTGGAGGGGTGCTACGAGATTGCCATGGTAGGTTTATTAGAGGGTTCACAGCAAACTTTGGTGTGTGCAGTGCCTATAGGGCTGAGCTTATGGCAGTTGAACTTGGGCTGCAGATGGCAACCACTTTTGGTCGGTGTAAGCAAAATTGAGATCCAGATGGACAACAAGGCTTGCATTGAAGCACTTTAGAACTATCATCTCCTTGGGGGTGAAGGCGTACACATGCTTCGTAACTGTCGTAACATCATTCGTTCTTTTGATTGTAATTTTCATAAAGTAGCTGATAAACTAGCTAATTTAGGTGTTGTTCAAACTGATAAGTGTCTTTATTTCAAGGACCCTCCTATCGAAATAAAGGGACTTATTAGGAAGGACATTTTAGGGGTTACTACCCTTCGTTTTATTGCTAAGTAGTTTGTATTTTTCGGGCTTTGCCCCTTTTTGCACCAAAAAAAAAAAGAGACAGAGAGAGTTCAAATTGTGTTAGGGTTTCAGTAATTTGGGGTTTTTTTTCTTTCTTTCTCTTTGCCTCTGTCAAGTTCAAATTAATTTTGGCCCTTCACTGTTTTTTTTGGTACGACTATCTAGAATTTGCTTGTATTGAACCATGTTGTTATTTTTCCAAAACCAAAAAAAAAAAAAAAAAAAACATGTTATTTATGAATCCACTTAACCCGAAAAAAAAAAATGTGTGAACCAAGTTTCATTCATGTCAATGGGTACAATGTTTATAAGAAGGTAACAAGATGGACTAAGAAGAATCACATTGACATGAACGAAACTTGGTTCATACAAATTATCAAACTTCAAAGCCTTTTTATGTTTTTGTTTTGTTTTTTATGTTACATGAATCTATATGATCGAAAATTGACCTATCTTGTCAAAATCTGTCCTACCTCTTAAGCATAATGTCTTCTGGAGTGTTCCATTTCCTTCGAGGTTTAATGTCTGATTTAACAGCACCAGGTGATGAGTTTGTCTTAGTTGGAGAATGAGATTTTGATGAAGACGACGACTGAGACTTATTGTTACCTTGATGAGCCTTGACTGTTAGTTTTATCGAACTTTTATCTTCTTTTTGTTGTACATTCTTGACCACAGTATCCTTGCCCTGCTTCTGAGTTGGTTGATCAACATAGACTTTGGAAATGGTTGTTTTAGTCCTTTTGACAGTCGATTTCAGTGAAACTTTTGCGCTTGCACTTGCCTTGTTGCTGCCTGCACTACTTGCTCCCATGTTTTTGTTGACTGTTGCGAGTTTCATAGACGTTTTCCTCTTTGTTGTTGATTCCAACCTTCGAATTGGTTGTTTTGTTGAACTTTTCTTGTTTGGTGTTGTTTGCATTTTCTTTGGTGATAGTCTTGTTTGTATCTTTGAATTTGCCTTCTCATTTCCTGTTAAAACTTATTTTAGTTTGACCTTAGAAAAATGCTACTCGTAATAAGAATGATTTTGTATTGTCGCGCAATATAATTATAAGCTATCATACTCGTTAATAAGCAACATGACAATCTACATGATTGATTATAGAGGTGTTTATTACCTGGAATAGGACTAGCGTCAGAATCCTTAAGAATGCCTAGTGCAGCAGCTTGTTTAACTAGCTGCTGCATCTGAAGTCCCAAAACATCATCCTTGTCGGATGAACTTGATCGCGTATAGGAGGGCCTTTTCATCTCTACAACCTCTGCTTGGACCTTATTTAACGAGCCTTGATTGGATGCCGAATTCAAGGTATACATATCATGTCTAATTGCACTGCAAATGGTGGTTAAATTTGCAACTGCCAGTTCTAACTGTTGTAACCTCATTTGGTTGATGTCTGCCACACGACGAATCTCTTTCACTGATGTTATTAAAGAAACCTGTTGTTGATCATCCTTACACTTGCTAGCTTCATCTAACTTGCTGCTGTTCCTCATCTAAAACTTGTTAAATCTGATCAAGAAGATTGCAAGACATTTGAGATTTTGATCAATGAACGTTGTTATTTTTCAAAACAATGAAATATATATGTAGTGCAATCAGAAATTTAATTACAACTTTTACCTGCAAATTCTGCTAGCCGAGGCTAATGAATTAAGTTATGTTTGATATTAACCGCCTTTTAGATCTTCTGTATGTCTTCAATTTGGGCTATAGTGTAGATGGAAATATTTCTAAAGAGATCAATCAAGGCAAAAGAATGTACGTACAAACTAAATAAATGACATTATTATCGAACAAGTGTAACAACATTAACGCGTATATATACAAGAGAGACATTCAACATTGAAGGAGATCAGCTAATTTAAGAGGAATGGAATTCTGGTGAAGGCCTCACGTTGTTTTTGTTGCACACATTGACTCACCTACCGACTACCGTACGTGTAAGTATGTAACTTCATTGGTTATTGGCTTCTCTTGGTTTATATGCATATTGTAGAATTCAATTTGGCAGGACAGGAACTAGGCCAGCAGCCGGCTTCTACGGCCTGCTAGGATAAATATTAACAAAGTAATCAAGATTCAAATTTGACATGGACGCCGGAGATTAATATATTATATATTATAAATTATAATAAGCCGGTGTTGTCTAACACATCAATTACACAAGATAGTTGTTATTTTGACCTTTTGCTATAGTATTGACCAATGTATACGAGGAAAATTGGTTAAATATAATACAGAATAATTCTTATTAAGTTTCGTCAATATTCTTAAAGACTAAAGATGTGTTATGCTTTACTATCCTACATATCGCTATAACTATATAAACCATCCATTCATTTTACAAATACGAGCTCATTTTTTTTATTTTCATACTTTTATCAACAAAATCATACTCCTTACTTTTTACATACTTTCCAATAATGTGTGAGAAAGGCAAATAAGACTTTTCAATTAGAGCCTTATCTACAACAATGGGTTTTCCTCCTATTTACGCTGGTGGCTCAATTGAGTAAAATAGAAATGAGAAGTACTTTTTCTTTTTTTTCTTTTTTTCTTTTTTTTGAAACCGAAATGAGAAGTACTTAAGTGGCTATACTATTTCCTCTCTTCTTTCAAACTTTTGCCAAATAACTTTATGTCATCTTTAGATTCACCAAATTCGTCAGTTTCCAGTTTTCCACACATTGTTAGCTAGAATAATTTGTGGTGATTGAAAGAGTGCGTAGTACCTTCAAATAGTCTCAATCAAGATATCATAAACTACAAGCCATCACAAATTCACATAACCAAATGAACACCAATGATTGCTCCTCTGTTGCCTCTACATGATGATACATAATTGCATAATTTTTGGTCTTAAGGGTATGCACCATTTTGGGAGAGTGCGAGCACACAATTAATCGATTACCTATATTTGTGTTGATAATCCCTTATCCTACCAGATAATCTAACTTAAATCCGAAGTGAAGTTATTGAGAGAAATGTGAACTCGAACAACCTAAAGTCAATTCAATTGGACCCATATAACACATTATTTTGTTATAATATTAAGTTCTATATGTTTATGATAGTTATCAAGCATTAGTGCATAACCTAAAATTTAACTCGAATTTGACTTATTGACCTGAATTTTCACCCCTAATCTATATTTCCTGTCCAAATCGATTGGAAGATTAGGAATAGGTTGTGAAAAAGGCATAAAGCATGCTAATTTTTTTGTAATCAACGCTTTGAAATCAGCACTTTTAAAGGACCAAACTATTAAGGGACCTATAATATACATCGTAGATTTTGAGTGGGGGCTTAAAACGAGTGGAAGTCTAACGTAGCAACAGTAATCGTATATTCGTATTCATTCATTCTCCTTATGTTATGTAGTGGAATGAGTCAGCAAACAAACGCACACTCGCGTTCCCACTCACAAAGTCACAACCATACATTTGATTTAGCCTTTCTAATTCAATGGTTCATTTTAGTTTCCCATATAACACCAATTGTTCATCTTTTTTGTGGAATCAGAATTTTTGATTTATTATTTTTTAACATGTATTGGGCACATATGACAAAAGAATTTAAGAATGTCATTTTAAAACTACATCACAATCTACACTTAGTGGACCATGTCGTAAAAAAATTGTGTTTGTACCACTTAAACGTGTCTATTATCTCTTAATATCTGGCATATTTAATTCACTGTGTCGACATTAACTTGATTTATTTAGTAAATTGCTATGGTATTGATTCATTTAACTTATTTAATTTATTTTATAAAATAAAATTTTATGTCCAACCTTTTTTTTATGTTATCGTATCAATAAATCAAGTATGGTTAACCTTAAGAGCATAGCCAACCGTTAACCATTTAGGATGGTTATGTGAGAGAGAATGTGGAAAAATAATTAAAAAATGAAGAGAGAGAATTTTTTGGGAATAAAAAGCAATAACCTGGTTGTGGAAATAACCAGGTTATAAAGCTTGGTTATTGAGTGAAATAGTAGGGCCAATTTGCTTGGTCATTGAGTGAAAGAGGGAGATTGTGTAGTGGGGTTGGGTAAAAATAAGAGAGATAAGATGTGTAACAATGGTCAACCATTGGGCTACATTGGTTATTAAGTGGGTATATGAGTGGTTATAAATGAGATGAAAGATAGATAAATTAATTAAATAAGTGATAACCACAATTGTTGTTGTCAATCATTGTGTTTACTCTAAAGTTACTACGACTAGTATATTAGAATTTTGAAGGATTATTAACCCATGTTATGCTAACTAAAGCACTTTTAGATTGTGTACGTGCTACAATAATTCTTTTTTTCTATGAATTTATTATTAAATTATATAATTATTTATTTTTGTTACTCATAAAGTCATTTATCCTATAGACAATTAGACAAGATACGTGATAACGTGATATTCAAAATCTGGAGTAATTTTTTAACAATGAAACATTTAGAAACTCTTTACATACTCGCATTTGCAATTTCATCACTTTGAGTGAGTCACAAAGTAGTGTACAATTTTACTATGAGCTGTATAAACGAGCTGAGGGATGAAGTTAGCAACCGTAATTCCTTATTACAAATTAAAGTAACCTACATTAATTTATATCCAACACCACCTTTCCAGCTTTCCATGCAAACATTTTTAGATTTTAGCTTGAGATATCTTGTATTAACATTCAACATCAGAGTTTTGCAACAATTTTGTACGATAGATTGAACTCACGAGGCCAAAACAAGGAGAAATTTAAGAGTTTCACGTGTCAGTGTGTCACATACTTATTTCGTTCCAATTTATTATTTGTTAACGTATTTACAACCGTCCAAAGATCACCTATAACAAGACTTTATTTGGAGTATTACAGAACTAATAATCAATTCTGGCTAATCAAAAACAATCTTCTCATTTATACTAGGAGATTGTATTTACAAACAAGATGAAAAATAAAATCACAATAAGTGTGATAAAAACATACAAGTATATATCATCTATTATAACAAACAAAAATATAACAAGATTATATATATTCATATTCATCAAAGATGATTTATATTAAGGTATACAACTATGTATGATTAGAAAAAGAAAGCTATTAATGCTCAGAAACATCAACTTTTGCAGTACAAGAAAGCATCCTACGGATCATAGACAAAAAAGAAGCATAAGAAAATTCCTTTACCTTTCTAAATATCACCAAACTACTACCCTTATTATTCCTAATCATAACCTTATAACTTTTATCATCATAATCTCTTTTACAAACCAGAGTAACTCTGTCTTTTACCCTGCTTAAGCACTTCTTAGCCTTCTCAATGTTCCCATAACTCTCTTTGTTCTCATCTGGCCTCGAAAACGTGTAGGCGGTTCTCAAGTACAACTGCCTGCATGACTTGCTATCAACCACCGTTACACCACCAGATTCCATCGGTTTCGAAAACCGGGAATTGGCTTTCGGTTTGTATATAGGATTGCTTGATATGCAGGTCGAGGAGGACATAGTGTATAAATTGATTTTCTTCTCTTGGTAGGAATAAAAAGAAAGTAGCACTATACAATAGATCTTGGTTGAATGGAAATTTATGTTATGGTATGTTATGAGTATTTATATGAAACATGTAATGTGACTTTGCTTTATTTTTATTTTTCATTTTAAGCTTTTTATGATTATTATGGTATTGGTATATTTAGGAGAATAATGGACGTATTGCTTTGGAAGGTAGTAAGGTGTGGAACCTAAATTGTAAGGTGGATAAAAAGCTTTTATTTCTAACTTTTTTTTTGCTCTTTGAAGGGACTCAAGAGTTGAATTTTTTTAATTTCAATCTTAGGTTAAGGTGTAACTTATATAATGGGCTACTTGTTACTTTGTTAGTTGTTTAACAGAACAAATTGACCCTCCATCTTATTTATTATTATCTTGGACACGGACTCACGAAATTCCTTAGATTATTGTTAATTTGTTACTATAAACTACATATTATATATGAGGAAGTTGACAAGTTGAATTATCTTTGTAAAAGAGAGGAGGAAGCTATTTTAATTGGTTTTCTAGTAAGCCAAGTTGTAAAATTTAGGAAAGGTAACAAAGGTGGCATTGATTATTGTCTGTAAGTGTGAATGCATACTTTATATACGTAGTAAGATCGACTTTAATAGATATTTTATTTAAAAAAATGGTACTTTATTGGAGAGAAAATGTGAGAGTAAACTCTTGAATCCACTCTTTAAGATGAAGGTATATTTCCTTTTCAAATATATTTATCAAACTCGAGTAGAGAGGAGAGATTGAATATTGTAAACTGTTGGAACAACAAGTGTTAAGTGTGTAGTGTGTGAATTTTGTGAAAAAACTCAAAGTCCCACATTGGTGGGAAATGAGAGTTTTACTCTCTTTATAATATAGAGAGTGGGCTAAAGGGGTGTGGCCCTTGGGCTACCCACATTTTGTGGAGAGGGAGGACCATCTATCACACACACGCGCGCCGAACCGAACCGAGCCGGGCCGGGTTGGGTTGGGTCGGGTTTATTAAATAAACTTATTTTTTGGACAAGGCTAATTGCGTGATTAGTTCCTTGATTTTTGCTAAACGTTTTTTGACTGATTACATTTGACCGTTTTTTTTCAAAACTGATTAATGGAGCGTTAATCATGCAAACGTTTTCACTGATTTTTTGCTAAACGTTTTGCCACGCATTAATCTTATGTAACCGTTTTGAACGTTCAACTTATGACCGTTTTAATTGCGTGATTAGTGCCTAATTAAACAGCAGCAGTTACGTTGCAATTTTTCCTATAAAAGGCGTGTTGATTTCCTGTTTTTGAGATACAACAACATACAGAAAGCAATCTTCTTCTCCTCTCTATTTTTCCTCACAAAAACAAAAACCCTCGAGCAGTTTCTTTTCTTTTTTGGTGCTTAGTTGCCCGGTGGTTTTGTGCAGTTCCACCGGTATAATTACAATAGAGGAAGGCTGTTTTATCCTGGGGAACATCCGGTTGTTGTACGAGCTGCTTGCACAAATTAAAGGGCAGTACCGTGAATGTTCTAAACAGAGCGACATAGTCCGCGACTCAGTCTATTTCCCGGTAACTTTGTTCTGTTTTATTGTTTACAGCAGTTCGGTTTATAACAATTTTAGAACAGTCTTTTCTGCCTTTATAATCATCATGTCTACCGAGGAAATAACTATGTCCAATGACCTTAACAAGCCCTTCCGTTTTGAAGGCGCTCATTTTAAAAGATGGAAACAGAAAATGCAGTTTTTCTTAACTGTTAAAAAAGTTCATTCTGTATTGACTGTCCCTAGGCCTGTTATTCCTGATAATGCTGAACAAGATGATCTTGTGTATTGGAATTCTGAAATTGAAACTTGGAATGAAACCGATTTCATGTGCAAAAACTATATTCTTAATGGTCTGTCTGATAACCTGTATGACTATTATAATCTGGAAAACACTGCTAAGGATTTGTGGGATGCCCTGCAAAAGAAATATGACACCGAAGAAGCCGGTGCCAAAAAGTATGCTGTTAGCAGGTACCTTAAATTCCAGATGACTGATGATAAGTCCGTGGAAGTGCAGTCCCACGAACTTCAGAAAATTGCCCATGAGATAATTTCCGAAGGTATGGCTCTTGATCAACAATTTCAGATTGCTGTTATAATTGACAAGTTGCCTCCTTCTTGGAAAGATTTCAAAAACAGTCTCAGGCACAAGACTAAGGAATTTTCCCTAGAGAGTTTGATTACTCGGCTCCGTATAGAGGAAGAATCCAGAAAACAGGACCAGAAAGAAGAAGTCTTACACCTCTCTGCAAACAATGCTCCTAAGCGTTCTGCTGCAGTTCTCAAGCCCGCTGGTAAGAACTTCAAGCCTCAGAACCGGAAGAATAACTTCAACAAAAATAAACAGAATGTTCAAAAGAACGATGGAAAACAACAAATTCAACCCCCTAAGAATGGTACTGGTCAATTCCTATGCTATAGGTGTGGAAAACCAGGCCATATGGCACGAAAGTGCAGGAACATGCCTAACCCTGTACCACAGGCTAGCATGATAGAAGAGCCACTTGTGGCTATGATTACTGAGATCAACCTTATTGGTGGATCAGAAGGGTGGTGGGTAGACACTGGCGCTACACGCCATGTCTGCTATGATCGTCGGATGTTTAAAACTTATTCTGAAAACACCGATGATAAGAAAGTGCTGTTGGGTGATTCCCATTCCACTAATGTTGCTGGTATTGGTAATGTTGAGTTGAAGTTTACTTCTGGCAGGACTCTCATTCTGAAGGATGTACTGCACACTCCGGAAATGAGAAAGAACTTAGTTTCTGGTTTTCTTCTTAATAAGGCTGGTTTTACACAAACCATAGGTTCCGATTTATTTACTTTAACTAAGAATGGAATGTTTGTAGGAAAAGGTTATGCTACTGATGGCATGTTTAAACTGAATGTTGAGATTAATAAAATTTCTGATTCTGCTTATATGTTGTCTTCTTCTGTTAATATTTGGCATGCTAGACTCTGTCATGTGAACAAAAGACTCATAAAAAATATGAGCAATTTAGGCCTTATCCCTAATGTTTCCCTCAATGACTTTGATAAATGTGATTTTTGTAGTCAGGCTAAGATTACAAAAACACCTCATAAGTCTGTTGTTAGAAACTCAGAACCGTTAGATTTAATTCATTCTGATATTTGTGAATATAATGGAACGCTGACCAGAAATGGACAACGATATTTCATCACCTTTATTGATGATTGTTCTGATTATACTCGTGTTTATTTGATGAAAAATAAGAGTGATGCTTTTGATATGTTTAAGTTGTTTGTGACAGAGTTTGAGAATCAGTTCAACAAGCAAATAAAAAGGTTGCGTAGTGATCGTGGAACTGAGTATGATACTGATACTTTTGTAGAGTTTTATAACTCACATGGTATCATACATGAAAGATCAGCTCCTTATTCTCCAGAAATGAATGGTAAGGCTGAAAGGAAAAATAGAACCTTTACTGAGTTAGTAGTTGCTATTTCCTTAAATTCTGGTGCTGCTGATCATTGGTGGGGAGAAATTCTTCTCACTGTTTGTTATGTCTTGAACCGTATTCCAAAGACTAAGAGTAAGATTTCTCCTTATGAATTACTTCGTAACAAACAACCTAACATTTCTTATTTCAGAACTTGGGGTTGTCTGGCATATGTTAGGATTCCTGATCCTAAAAGAGTTAAGTTAGCTAGTAGAGCTTATGAATGTGTATTCATTGGCTATGCTGTTAATAGTAAAGCATATAGATTCTTTGATTTAAGTGCACGAGTAATTATTGAATCTAATGATGTTGATTTTTATGAGGACAGGTTTCCTTTTAAATCTAGAAATAGTGGGGGCTCGTCCTCCTCTATTATTCCTAAAGACAGGTATAACTCACAAGACTTGGATGCTGAACCCGAACTAAGAAAGAGCAAGCGGGCTAGAGTAGCTAAAGACTTCGGACCAGACTTTGTAGTTCTGAATGTAGAGGAGGATCCTTCTACCCTCCAAGAAGCTCTAACCTCAGTGGATGCAGATTTATGGCAAGAAGCCGTGAACGACGAAATGGACTCACTTGAGTCTAACCGAACTTGGCACCTAACTGAGTTGCCACCAGGCTGCAAGTCAATTGGTTGCAAATGGGTCCTAAAAAGAAAGCTGAAAGTTGATGGGACCATTGATAAGTTCAAAGCCCGTTTGGTAGCTAAAGGCTACAGACAAAGGGAGAATGTTGATTTCTTTGATACCTATTCACCTGTAACTAGAGTAACATCTATTAGAGTATTAATATCTCTTGCTTCTGTTTTTAATCTTGTAGTACATCAAATGGATGTGAAGACTGCATTCTTGAACGGTGAATTGGAAGAAGAAATCTACATGGATCAACCGGAAGGATTCATTGTTCAAGGAAAAGAGCATCTGGTATGTAAGCTAGATAAATCTCTTTATGGTCTCAAACAAGCACCTAAACAATGGCATGAAAAATTTGATAACTTAGTCATCTCACATGGTTTTAAGATAAATGGTAGTGACAAATGCATATATGTAAAATTTGAGAAGGACATATGCACTATAATTTGTTTATATGTGGATGACTTGTTAATTTTTGGCTCAAACATTCATGCTGTGAATGATGTAAAGCTATTGTTGAATGCTGAGTTTGATATGAAAGACCTAGGAGAGGCTAATGTAATCCTTGGAATTAAGATTACTAGGACAGAAAATGGAGTTTCTTTGGATCAATCTCATTACATTGAGAAGATCCTAAAGAAATATAGTTACTTTGACTGTAAACCTGCTAGTACACCTTATGATCCCAGTGTTAAATTATTTAAGAACACTGGTGATGCCGTAAGGCAATCTGATTATGCGAGCATCATTGGCAGCCTTCGGTATGCCACTGATTGTACTAGACCCGACATTGCCTATGTCGTGGGATTGTTAGGCAGGTTTACTAGTTGTCCTGGTAATGAGCATTGGCATGCTATTGAAAGGGTCATGAGATACCTTAAGAGGACCATGAACCTAGGATTGCATTATGAAAGGTTTCCAGCTGTACTAGAAGGCTATAGTGATGCTGATTGGAACACCTTATCAGATGACTCTAAGGCTACTAGTGGATATATTTTTTCTATAGCCGGTGGAGCTGTATCTTGGAAGTCTAAGAAACAGACTATTTTGGCTCAGTCCACCATGGAGTCAGAAATGATAGCACTAGCTACGGCTAGTGAAGAAGCAGGTTGGTTAAGAGGCCTGCTAGGTGAAATTCCCCTATGGGAAAAACCATTACCGGCTGTCTTGATCCATTGCGATAGTACCGCGGCTATTGCAAAAGTTCAGAACCGTTATTACAACGGTAAGAGACGACAAATACGTCGTAAGCACAGCACTGTGAGAGAATATCTCTCTATCGGAGCTGTTAGAGTGGATCACGTACGCACTGAGAATAACTTGGCTGATCCTTTGACGAAAGGATTAGCTAGGGAGAAAGTCCATTTTTCCTCTAAGAAAATGGGACTATTGCCATTGAAATGAACCACACATAATGGTAACCCAACCTATGAACTGGAGATCCCAAGAAATAGGTTCAAAGGGTAATAACAAGTTATGGTGTGTTATGAGTTGAATATGTTCAAAAGACATAATTTCCTGAAGCGATCAAGGATGAGTTAATAGGAACTCTTAATGAAATCTATACTCCAATTTGGAGTGGAGTACCAAGCTACAGGAGTACTCTTGATAGATTCACCTATGTGAATGTGGAAGTTAGGCCGCTTCCTATGAAATGTGTGGCAGCATTTCTAGAGCATTCACTACACTGGGATAGACGTGCATGGCCGAAATAGCACGGGTCTAGAACAACACCAAGAGTAGGTTGTGTGTGGTACGTTGTCAGAGATAGGGTTCAAAACTTCGAGTCACCCTTGTTGAATCTGAATCGTACTCACTACGTCGAAGTTCAAGTTGAAAAACACTTCTGTTTATGCGCAACCTATATATGTATGGATTCTGCTCGAAAATGTTTTCAAAAAAATTCAAGTGGGGGATTGTTGGAACAACAAGTGTTAAGTGTGTAGTGTGTGAATTTTGTGAAAAAACTCAAAGTCCCACATTGGTGGGAAATGAGAGTTTTACTCTCTTTATAATATAGAGAGTGGGCTAAAGGGGTGTGGCCCTTGGGCTACCCACATTTTGTGGAGAGGGAGGACCTATATGGTAAACCATCTATCACACACACGCGCGCCGAACCGAACCGAGCCGAGCCGGGCCGGGCCGGGTTGGGTTGGGTCGGGTCGGGTTTATTAAATAAACTTATTTTTTGGACAAGGCTAATTGCGTGATTAGTTCCTTGATTTTTGCTAAACGTTTTTTGACTGATTACATTTGACCGTTTTTTTTCAAAACTGATTAATGGAGCGTTAATCATGCAAACGTTTTCACTGATTTTTTGCTAAACGTTTTGCCACGCATTAATCTTATGTAACCGTTTTGAACGTTCAACTTATGACCGTTTTAATTGCGTGATTAGTGCCTAATTAAACAGCAGCAGTTACGTTGCAATTTTTCCTATAAAAGGCGTGTTGATTTCCTGTTTTTGAGATACAACAACATACAGAAAGCAATCTTCTTCTCCTCTCTATTTTTCCTCACAAAAACAAAAACCCTCGAGCAGTTTCTTTTCTTTTTTGGTGCTTAGTTGCCCGGTGGTTTTGTGCAGTTCCACCGGTATAATTACAATAGAGGAAGGCTGTTTTATCCTGGGGAACATCCGGTTGTTGTACGAGCTGCTTGCACAAATTAAAGGGCAGTACCGTGAATGTTCTAAACAGAGCGACATAGTCCGCGACTCAGTCTATTTCCCGGTAACTTTGTTCTGTTTTATTGTTTACAGCAGTTCGGTTTATAACATAAACTCTATATGACAATCCACTTTCCTTGATGTATAAGTTTTTTTTTTAAAAAAAAAAAAAAAAAGCTATATCACTAGATCTAATAAACTCACATATTCTCTGCTATAATTTAAAATGGTTTCAGCTCTCAATCAGACAACAGTTCAAAGCTTCATGCACACTAAACTTACATTCTGAATGACATGACAAAAAGTTCAAAACTTAACAGATACATAAAAAATAACATATCCTCATCAAACATGTTGGCTAACTAAAGTGAAGGTTAAAGGTACAACACTACAACATACATCAATGTTTCATAATCGCCCTCCAAACCGTCTCCCTCTCGTCTGATAAGACTCTAATGCTGCTACAAACTCTGATTCTCCGAATTCAGGCCACAATGTTTTAGTAAAGTAGAGTTCAGAGTAGGCCAATTGCCAGAGCAAGAAGTTACTGATCCGAAGCTCACCACTTGTTCGAATGAGTAAATCAGGGCAAGGAGTCCTCGTTATCTTAGTCTCTAGCTCCTGCTCGATAAGTGTTTCACACACATCGTTGGGCTCGATCAGGCCATCTCTAACTTTTTTACTGATGTTTTGGCATGCTTGCACGATGTCGTTCTTCCCACTGTAACTAACAGCAAAGATTACATGTATTTTGGTGTTGTCTTTTGTCGCTTATTTTGTGTGTTCTATAACCTCCTGTAAGGAGTCAGGGAGCAAAGACGTGTCTCCGATTGTGGAGATTCTTATTCCTTGCCTGTTGATCTTTAAACATCAAAATCTCATGTGATAAGCTAATATGCAATAAAATGAACTGTCTGGATTTATTAATCAACTGAAAGAAATACTATATTATAGGGCTATGTATTCATATTACAAAAGGTACTAACCTAATAAAATGAACTGTCTGGATTTACACATGGTTTTTGATGCTCAGTACATAATTAGACTTAAAATGCTTGTGTTGGGAGTTTTAAACACTGCAACATTATGTTTAATTTTATGCAACATATCAGATCATTTAAAGCCACAACAGAGTTTCTTTCTAATTATTTCTAGGATTTTTGTCAGCTAACATAAAGATTCATTTGATTTCTCTTCATCAAGTTTTAAGGACAAAAGTTACGACAGGAGTAACTTAAAAGATGTACAATGTCGACTATTATTAGAAAATTGTTGAAAGAGTTACTAGGTACGTTTTCAACACTAATCTACATAGTACAAAGAAAGTAAAGTAGTACCTTATTAGACTAGCAAATCCTTTCAGATGAAAATGCGAGGAAATATTGAATCCCTCATTCAACCTTGTACCCTTTTGAGATCTAAAATAAAGGTCTAAACTAGAAACATTGATTTCTAAAACAAGATATTGATTCAATTCAGTACTTTTGTACACCTCATTTATACTCGTACAAATTCTTCTTGTAACTTTGTAACGATGAATGATTGCTCAAGTATTCCTATGATAATAGTTACTTTACTAACTTTAATGTTAAATCTTATATGGTACGGAGTACTTTACACTTCATATTAAGTTCAAAATTTAATGACAAATTAACACACATCTTTTTAAAATTGTATCTGATTATTATAATGTAGCAATGAAACTATTGAATGAGAATGACCATCATCAACAAAATGAACGAGAAAAGAGAAGAGCACTAACTTTGGGGCGACGCCAGTTTTCGGACGAAAACAAGAAAAAAGTGGCAACATTGATACCCCATTTAGCACAAAGGCCCATTACTTGAAGCAAAGTCTTAAGCCCAGCATCATGCCCTGCATCAGATCCAAGTCCTCTAACTTCAGCCCATCTTCTATTCCCATCCAATATCAGCGCCACGTGTCCTGGCATCAACTCTCGCCGGGAGATCCGTCTCCGGCGAATTTCCCGGTGAGATCTCAATATCTCCTCCAACTTTAGTGGCCGTGGCATTTTCGACTGTGGTGGAGAAGTGGGTGTGGGCCCCACGATTCAGAGTGGCCCCGCCCAGAGAGTGATTAGGGAGGTAAGATTGGAGTTTAAGAGAGAGATTAAGAGTTGAGATTGAGAGAGGAGATGAAGCTCTTTGGAGCAATATTCTTAAGAATGTCATTTTATTTCAATAATGACTTGTAGTTTAAGGATCTGGTACTTCAGCCTAATGGCCTATTCTAATATATTTGTGATTAAGGTCTAACGGTATTCATTTTTAATATATGGCATATTCTTTGGTTAAAAATCTTAAAATGATTGGCACTTCGATAGTCATACTAGTCAAAGCCAGTGGCGGACCCAGGAATTTCCGACTGGTGAGTCACAATCGATAATCAAATATGTAAAAAAATATTTCACAATGACATGTAAGGAGACATTTACTTCCTAAACTTGAAAATAAACAACACGATTGGAGACCAAATTAACTACAACGGATGTAGCCTAAATACATATCAGTCCGCAACATGTTTTACAGGATGATCAATAATTTTGAAGCAATGCCTCAAGGCGTAAAAGCAATCCTTTTTTGGCACTTCAATATGATTCAAGCATATGATCAGGAATAAACACGAATAACAATTGATTCACAATACAAGTATACAATATTCCCAGCATGAAATAGACTCAAGAATTACAGAAATTGCCCAAATTAAAACCAAAATTACAGAGACTCACCCATATCCAGGCAAATTAACAATATACCAACTCTTGTTGATTAGAAAATGATTGATAAGCTGAGTCTTCCCTGCATATAAATTCAACAACCTAATCAAACACAAAGTTAACAAAACAAATGAAATCACAAGTATGAATCATATGCAAATAACCCCAACAGCGAATTACCCCTATTCATAATTGGTTGGACGATTCATATTCAACTAAATCAAGCAATATTCAACTAAATCAAGCAATATTCCCCAGAAAAATTATTTACAAAGATCATCCAAATAGAAAATTGACAAGATTACAATACTAACTAATAATTAAAAAGCTTAAAATTGACAAGACTAAAATCAACAAACTAATATCTCCACTAGTCTATACGGAACTTCTAGCCGAATATGCGACTAGCACCACTAAGCACTAACCAGTCCAAACTGTAATCTAATTATAAATTTATAATCCTCCTTACACTAATAGTTTAATTGCTGTCTTATACAATGTCCGGCATCACGTATTCACAATTTCACATAATGACATGAACAGATAAACTAATAAGTTCAATTTAACAGTCAAAACACAATTTACACAAATAATGCAAATTCAATGGACATTCACCGTATATACTAATTTTAAGAGACAAGTAATGCAAATTTGATCAAAAATTCACAAAAAAAAAAAGAATCAATTGATGATTACCTACCTTGCTAGGCGGAGGCGGCAGGCGCTGAATGATTGAGGCGAGCAGCGGAGCAGCACTGCAGCAGGGCCATGCCCAACACTCAGCAAAACAGCAAGTCAGCGACTAGGCACTAGAGCAGGCGACTAGGCGAGCAGCAGAGGACAGAGCACAGCTGCACAGAGCACTGGAGGCTGGAGCAGGCGACTAGGCGAGCAGCAGCCAACAGGCCAGCAGCACAGCCAGCACTGGAGGCGTGAGCAAACTAGCGAAGAGCAGTAGATTATGAACAATTAGTCAATTAGGGATTGAGTTTATAACTAACATTTTACATTTCACAAATTCACAATTAGGGATTTAGGGTTCAAACATTTCACAAATTCACAATTCATATAATGCAAAATTCTCTGAAATTGAGTTGATTATTGAACAATTAGGGATTTAGGGTTCAAATTTAGTATTACTAAATCATAATTCATAACTAACAAGTAATATCAACAATTAAATAAATAAATAAATAAATAAATAAATAAAAAGCCGAAAGATGAGTAGATGAGTAGATGACTAACCTGAAATTATGCGAAGAGGAAGATGAAGCGAACTAGCGAAGAGGAACTGAGGTCTGAGGAAGAGGCGAAGAGGAAGATGCGAACTTGCGAAGAGGAAGAGGCGAACTGGCGAAGTGGGCTAGGGCTAACTCAGACGTTAGAATTTTTTATTTATTTATTTTTTTTTTTTAAAAAAAAAACTTAAAATTTTTTTTGGGCCCTGGTGAGTCACTTGACCCACCAGGCACAAGCCCAGGCCCGCCACTGGTCAAAGCACTAGAAGAGTAGAGAGGTCGGCTTAAGTCGTGTAATTTAAGGGTGCGCTTCTTTCAAACCTATACATTAGTTGTTAGTTAGGACTTAGGAGTTCATTAGAAATATATTGTACTTGCTCCATATGAAACACAACTGGAATTCATTAGAAACGAATTGTATTCCATATTGTATGTAATGTAGCAAAGTATGCTGGAGAGATAACGTGAAAATAGACTCTTAAACCCACTTAAAAGATGGAGATATGTTTTTTTTTTTTTTCAAAAATTATATCTTAAACCGCGTAGAAATAATAGATTGAATATCAAAAACTTGGTATGACAGTTCATTTTCCTAGAATGGATTTGAAGAAGGCTAGTTAAAAAAAAAATGTTCAACTTTTCATTACTTAGCCCGAAATGATTTATTTAATTACATTATGGTAAGAATACAATAAAAAAAAAATGCGACCACAGTGGGAGTCGAACCCACGACCTTTTGATCCGAAGTCAAACGCGCTAATCCACTGCGCTATGCGGTCTTATTGATAACTTAATTCAATTTTAATATAAGATTTTATTGAAATAATATTAAATTAAGAACATTCAATGGAAAAAATGGAGATGCGGGGTATCGATCCCCGTACCTCTCGCATGCTAAGCGAGCGCTCTACCATCTGAGCTACATCCCCTTACTGTTCAATTTAGTTCTGTTAAACTTAATTAATTAAAATGAACTTAACCCTTTTTTTTGGTCATGAGCATAAAGAAGTTACAAACTACTAGTACTCCGTATTAGAAAAGCTAATTAAAGCACATAATTCATATTTTGTACATTTGATACTGTATATATGATGCATGGTTCGTTCTATAGTTTATAGTCAATTAATTAGAGCATGCATTATCATCTATGGCCGAATTTAAATTGAAATTTTTTGTCTACCACACACCTACGTTGCCTACATAGAAAATGAATTATATATAAAAAAAATCTCTCTGAATTATACTAATATCATATCTATTTCACAAAACACATACACTCGGTAAAAACCCTTAACTCAGTTAATAGAGCTAAGAGTCTAAGACTAAGATAGATAGCCAAAAATTAACTTTCAAGTTCTAGTTAAAATTATATTCTTAAATTATTTATATGTTTTTTTATACAATATATTGATAGCTCAAAAAATAACTCTCATGCTTGCACTTATATCTAAACTTGGATAAGTAATAATACACCTTGCTTATATATATATGTGTGTGTGATTTTTATTATATGATTAATTATTTTATATAAATACAATAATATATGAATGGCTTGATATGTTGATGTAAAAGTATATTATTATCGGCCATTATTTTTTTTGTAATTTAAAGTTTCATTACAAAATAGTCAAATTCATATTAACTCTTCATTTTCATCCTTAAAATTCTCATCTCCATCATTTATTCCTAATTCTACGTCCTTTCTCCCTTAATCCATCTTCCAAAGAACAAACTTCATTTAACATCGTGAAACCTCATAACACTCAAATTAAATTCATAGTTTCTCATTATTATTCATATCATAAACTTATTAATTGCCTTAATAAAAGAACTTCTCCCACAAACAAACCATCAACAACAACTATACAATGCATGCAATAATAATATAATCATCAACAATCATGGAGGACACCATGGAAGCATCAATGAGAGTGATAATGTCATGGGATTACGAAACCTCCGATATAAGCCCCAACACATCACTCTTTAACCATCATAGCCGTGAAGAAGTACTCGAATTCATGCGAGCCGTGAAAGACCTTCACGCAGCCCTCCAATACTTCTCTAGCACCTCAAACTTCTCCTACCATTATCCTTCGCACAAGAAGATAAGTCTCGTGTCAAAACTTGCTTCGTGTCGCAAAAAAACGCTTGAGCACCGAGTTTTTTTCTCTCCTTAAGGCTAATAATAAGCACCACATTGATTATTATTCCGTTGTTCAGGGGGGTCACTCTATATTCTCGTTGAGTGACCCCTCATCAGGGTGTAACAATAACAATAACAACAATAATGACTTAGCCGTTTTCACCGTGTCAAATAATAATTATCACGAAGACTCGACCACGGAGGAGGCATCTACTATGGCCGACCTTAAGTTGATCGCGGATTGCATGATGAGTGCCGGGTTTGGGAAGAAATGTCTTAAGATATATAAGCTTACGAGGCGGTCTTTTGTTGAGGATGCCCTACTTAAGCTAGGTGCACGTAAGTTGAAGAAATCACAGGTTCAAAAATTAGATTGGGAGACTATTGATGCTAAAATGACTAAATGGTTGAATTCTATAAAGATTTGTGTGAAAATATTTTCCCATGAGAAGAATCTTTGTGAACATCTTTTTTCTGCGTGTACCTTGCCATCCGTTACGGAATCATGTTTTTCGGATGTTTGTAAAGAGTCTGCCCTAATTTTATTTCGAATCCCTGGGAAACTTGCAAAACACGCAAAGAAATCCCCGGATAAAATCTTCAAGTTCCTAACCCTTTACGAGGGGATGTCCCAAGATACCTCGGAAATTGAAAAGATCTTCTCGTCAGAGTTCACCTCAGTTATTCGATCACAACTGAGGTCCTCTATAGGACGAGTGACTGAAGGCGTGAAAACAATGGAAGCAGATTTCGAGGCACATGTGTATAAAGACTCCTCAAAGGGCGTAGTCTCTGGAGGAGGGATCCACCCTTTGACCAAATATGAAATGAACTACATGGTCAACCTTTCTTATCACGCCTCTGCATTGGACAAAATTCTCGCAGATTATCCAGTAAGCCTACAGTCGCCGTTACCAGAGAGTTATTTTGAAGGTGAAACAATGTGGTCTCCTGTGGCGTTACATTTTGCATGGTTAATATTGATATTACTTGGTAAGCTAGATAGTAAGTCGGAGCTTTGCAAAGATGCATCTCTTTCGTACCTCTTCTTAGCAAATAATCTTCAATATGTTGTAACAAAAGTAAAGTCCACCAAACTATATAATGTGTTAGGAGAAAAATGGGTAAACAAACATTCCTCTAAAGTGGTGCAATATGCTGCAAACTATGAAAGGATGGGGTGGGGTAGAGTAATATCTTCATTACCAAAAGATCTAACGGTGGAGATTTCTCTTGATAAAGTCAAAGAATGTTTTAAGAGATTTAACGTAGACTTTGAAGAGGAGTATCGTAAGGAGGTGGATTGGGTTGTACAAGATTCAAAACTAAGAGACAAGATGAAAAATTCAATTATTAGGAAAGTTGATGCGAGATATCGAAAGATGTATGATAAATATAAAGTGGTTTTAGCAAAGACTAGAGAGAAAGGAAAAATCGATTATGTAGTCAAATTTACCCCTGAAGATTTGAAAAATTACTTATCTGACTTACTGGATGGTCATGAAGAGGACGACGTCGTTTCACCTTCTATTGAAAAAGTTGAAACGACATTGCATGACAGAAAAGAAAATCCAGTTCTTCAACGACGTAGTCGACGTCTTCTGCTTTTGGTTCGTCAGCATCACCATTAGTACTTATTTAATGGAGTTTATCAAGTCTTTGTTTAGGTGAGATTTTAAATTATACGAAGTAGTGTAATAACTATTGTTTTGAAAATACGATTTTTTTTTAGTGATATATGTATATATATATTGAAATCGGAGTTTGAGACCAATTGCACATGTTTTGTACAAGTAATTAATAGGCCAAGCATATTTCTAACCAAAATTATTGAATGCTAATTAATTATATTGTTAGTAATTAATCATGCATACCATCTTTATAAATTGAAGTAGGCACTTGGCAATTTATGCATGGAAGATAGATGGTTTGTGCATGTAATCATACATATTTGATGATGTGCACGTAAACATTTAGGTACATGCTATTAGCTTTGAATTATGGAGTATATAACTTGTATGTTGTATGAAGTATCTGCCAGTTAATAATATATAAAAGATGATTCTTCCTTACCTCAATATTTTGCCAATTTTACATTCCTCACTTTGTTTTTATAAAGTTCAACGCAAAACATAATTGTGTGAAATCTTGTTATTTGTCTCAAATTAATAAATTCTAAAATATCAACTTCTTATTTTTATTAGTTTTCTCTTATTGAGAATTAAGGAAATTAATATGGCAAAGTAGCTACGAGTAGTAAAAATTACAATATACGGAGTACTTCATTAATGATATAACAGTAAATATAAAAATGTTGTATTAAGATATAGAGGAAGTACTCCAATTCCGTATTAAATTAGAAACCAGCTTCAATTAAAGTTCACCTGCAAAAATAAAGTGTTCAGAGTTCCTTACTAGCTCCATGCAATGAAGAATTCACTGTTCTAATTAAAATTCACCTGACCAAAATTTGAATACTGTCAAAGGTAAAAGAAAAAAAAAATTAAAAAAAAAAAATACTTTGCTGTACTAATAATTAAATCATTAATTGCACACCTCCTTCTACTACCATAGATAACATTAAATGAACAATTTTAAGTGTACTAGTAAAACACGAATCAGGGAAAACCTACCATACCAATGAAATAGCTCTGTTAATAATTATTGCCTTTTCTTTGAATTTATTAACCACTTTTCTGTAAACTTTTAACTTTATGTAACACTCTACTACTAGAACTTTCCTATCACCAGCTCGATCACTAACTTCGTAAATTTAAATTGAAATAGATGTTTGCTTCATCACGAACTATGGCAAACTATGACTTTATTATGGTTTCATTATATTATATACGTGTAAAAAGGCCGGTACTCCCTCCTTGTGTTTCCGACTTTTCTTTTTCGTGTACTTTATTTATACTGTATATTACACTACGGAGTATAACTTAATTTTAAGAATTGCTATCATGCCTATCAGCCTATCAGTTTACTCTCACATTCATTACGATTAATTTCTTCATTATTGACAACATATGAAACAATAGCCATTGTAGTATTAATATTCCACTTTAGATTTGTGATTGATTTGGACCCTAGTTTGTCAGCTTTGAGTTGGATGTTTAGGCAAAGTTTTGTAAATATTTCTCCATCATTTACAAATTGAATGTAAGAAGCATGTTGTATGTATTCATCTAATTTATTATATTTGAAATACACGGAGTATATTGAATTACCAATAATGAATTTTTGTTGATTGAAAAAGAGGTTATCGATCACTGTCCAAATGGATCGAGTTGTTCAAAATAAATTCTTTTTTTTTTTTTTTTTTTTTTTTGTGTACGTGTATATAAAATGCTCAAAATAAATTCTTGCATATTATTCGTTCATTTGTCACATTATTTCTCTGCCGAGGATACAAATAAAGTCAAATTCATAATTTATTTTTCATTACTAAATTGCACTACATTATCTTCAATATTATATTACTCCATAGTCCGTATAATATAATATACTCCAAAACTCTTGGTCACTTTTGTATTTCTTTTTCCTTTCCTTTTTATATTACTTCTTTACGCAAAAGCTATTTTTGGAATATTATAGGTAGACCAAATTTTAAAAATAGTTTATCATTAAATTGATCCTTTTCCTCATGAAAGAATGGAATGTACTCCCAACTGTCGCAAATAATTAAAACATTAATTTACAAGAAACTTCAAATAATTGGATAGAATTGATAACAAATTTCTATTACAAAGCATATCCACTAATAGGAGTTAACATAGTACAAGTCATTTCATCTCCTTCTCTATCATACAACGTCCAAATTTCTTTTAAAAAATATTTATTTTATAATTGTAATTTAAAGATATAATCCCTGATAAAAATAGTATGAAATATTAGGGGTACAATATCATCCAAATTTGATGGATCACCATCCACCAGAACCAATTATATGGATAAAAAAAAACCGAAATTAAATCGGTGACAGATGAATGATGGATGGATAAAAACACATGTTATAACTTATAATTGTCAATTATATATATATATATATATAAAAGGACAATTTTATTACTTTACATAATAAATATATTGTAATTGTCGATATGATGAATTTCAATACAAGTAGATACATTTCTATTTCAAAAATTAAATAATCCCGCTAATAATATTTGTGGTTATTAAAAAGCGTATCCGATTTTGCAAATCTTTAAAAGCAATGAGGCAAAGACAATGGCCATGAACAAGAAAATGAGGGTTTAAAGATGGTACTTTTGTTTGATACCTCAATAAAAAATAAAAAAAAAAATAATTAATTAATTAATTAATAAAGAAGAAGAAGAAATAAAGAAGGTCCCTACCTTTTGAAGAGTCTTATAAGTTATAACTAGCTTCTTCTTCAGTCACATGTCCGAACCTTCTTTTGTGACCTAATTCATGCACATAATTAGTTGGTAGAAGTTGGTTTGGCCAATTATATTTATTAGATTTCTAAGTTTACATATCTTTAATTTAAATGCCTCCATTTCTTCTTAGCTTTTACATCCCACAAAAAATAAATAAAAAAATTATTCTTTAGCTTCCTCTCAAACCAAAAATAATTTTTTTGTAAAAACAAAAAATGGGATTCTTCATCTTACTACTTCTTTTCCCTTCTCTTTTTCTCCTCTTCAATTTTCTAAAATGGGCTCTTATTAAAAGACACCAAGATTGTTACATTTTAAGCTATGAATGCTATAAACCGACCGATGATCGGAAAGTTAGTTCAAAATTCTCCGGTGAAATCCTTGCCCGGAACAAAAATTTGGGCATCAATGAGTACAAGTTTCTTCTAAAGGCGGTGGTTAGCTCCGGCATTGGGGAGGAAACGTACGCCCCAAGAAACATCCTTAAGGGCAAAGAAGAAAGTCCATCAAGTAAAGATAGCTTAGAAGAAATGGACGAGTTTTTTAAAGATAGTATCGAAAAACTCCTCTCAAAATCCAAAATTTCTCCTCAAGAAATCGACATTTTAGTGATAAATGTGTCGATGTTTGCGTCCGAACCATGCTTGGCCTCAAGAGTAGTGAACCATTACAAAATGAGGGATGATGTTAAGGTGTACAACCTTAGTGGGATGGGGTGTAGTGCTAGCTTAATTTCAATAAGTATTGTACAAAGCGTGTTTAAACACGAAAAAGAGCGTTACGCTTTGGTTGTTACATCGGAATCATTAAGCTCGAATTGGTACACGGGTAATGACCGATCCATGATATTGTCAAATTGTTTGTTTAGGTCGGGTGGGAGCGCGATTCTCTTGACCAATAAATGGGGTTTAAGGAAGAAGGCTATGTTAAAGCTCAAGTGTCTTGTACGGACGCATCATGGTGGTAGAGATGATTCGTACGGATGTTGCATGCAAATGGAGGATTCCGTGGGGAGGCTAGGGTTTCATCTTAGCAAAAACCTTCCTATATCCGCGGCCCGATGTTTGGTTGATAACCTAAAGGAGTTGGCCCCGAAGATCTTGCCAACTAAAGAAGTGGTTCGATTTGTGCTTGCTGTTATGGCCCGGAGATTTTTCTCCGGACCTAACAAGCAAGCAGGTAATAAACCGAGTATTAATTTTAAGACTGGGGTAGAACATTTTTGTATTCACACGGGTGGTAAAGCTGTTATAGACGGTTTAGGGGAGAACCTTAAGTTAAGTGAGTATGACCTCGAGCCAGCGAGGATGACCCTCCACCGGTTTGGGAACACGTCGGCGGGTAGCTTATGGTATGTTTTAGGGTACATGGAGTCCAAAAAGAGGCTCAAAAAAGGGGATAGGGTGTTGATGGTTAGCTTTGGGGCAGGGTTTAAGTGTAATAGTTGTTTGTGGGAAGTGGTAAGAGACTTAGATGGGTGTGACAATGTTTGGAAGGAGTTTATTGAAGACTATCCTCCTAAGAATTTGGCTAATCCTTACTTGGAGATGTTTGGTTGGATCCAAAATGAAGACGCTAGTACTTTTCCTGAGGATCATGAAGCAAAAATGAATTATTACCAAGAAAAAATGAATTGAACTATAATATATAGATATATATATTTATTTATTTATACCACCTAGGCCCTATATATTTTTTTTATGTTCAAGGAAATGAAATTATTATTTATTCTTAATTTTTTTGGGGTAATTTTTACATTTTTATTCATTATTCAATACCTATCAAGAATTATTGCCTAATTAAGGTATATACTTCAAAAAATTAGAAATGGGGGCGGGTGACACTAATTATATAAGGGCACTCAGCTACTCATTTGGCAATTTAATAGCCCTCTTTTCTTTTATGAAAGGTAATAGGTGTTAAATTATCGTTATTTTTTTTTGGTTAGTTGATGTATTTTTCTCTTATTTATTGAATATAATAATGCTTCATAAATTCTGAAGCCTTTATAGTTTTTTTTTTATATATATATATATAATCTTTCATGATGTATACTTTGTACTAGTAACTTTTTAGCTAGAGAATGAATGGAACATATAGTGTATTCCGTAATTCTTTTATTATATGGTACTTTATATAATTACATGGAAATTTGTCATTGTACATTTATATTTATTACATTATTAGTTATTTATTACTGAATGCCAATACAATAAATTGTGTTGCTTAA